AAGTTGAAATCACGTAAACAATACAGGGATTAAAACAATTAACAAATACAGTACCAAGTTAAAAACAGTAACGATTCACACATGAAACCGACAGATGATGGCGATAATCCAAATCACATCCAGTGATAGGAGCAGGGGTCATTTCCTGCAGGAGCGCACAGGAGCAGAGCTCCGGCAGTAAAGAGCCCAGGGGGCGGGCACATGCAACAAGCCCCACCCCCTGCTCCCAGCAGCCCTCAGTCAGAGCAAGAAGCAGCCAGGTAAGTTGCAGAGCCCCCCCCCCAGCCCCCTGGTCCAAAACAGTCCAGTGGCACCAAGTTTTATTCAGGCACAAGCTCTCCCTCCTCTGCGAGGACAGATCTGCACGTTCCCCCTCCCCCCAATAGCTAGCAATCCAAAACCGTTCAGTGGAGCCCGAGCGGTGGGTGTTGCCTTTTGATACACTTCCGGTGATGTCAGGGGGTGTGGCATATGCAAATGAGTTATGCTAATGAGCTCCTGCACCTCTTTTTCTACGAAATGACCCCTGGATAGGAGTAGCATCCGGCGAAGTCTCAGGCCAGTTGTTGTTCTAGATTTCAGGCCAGAGGATGTTCCAGGGCACATTCATCAGTGGCAGCCCCTAATCGAAGGCCTGGTGGAAGAGCTCCGTTTTGCAGGCCCTGCGGAACTGTAAAAGGTCCCGGAGGGCCCTGATGTCTTTCGGCAGCTCATTCCACCAGGTTGGGGCTGCCACTGAAAAGTCCCTGACTCTGGTGATGTTCAGCCTGGCTTCTTTTGGACCAGGAGGGTCAAACGATGTTGCGACCCTGACCTCAGTGCTCTCTGGAACACATGTGGGGAAAGGTGGTCCTTCAAGTAGGCAGGCCCCTGGCCATGTAGAACTTTAAAGTTTAAAACCAGCACCTCGAACCGAATCCAGTACGCTATAGGCAGCCAGTGCAGTGTCCTCAGCAGAGGTTGGATGTGGTCCCGTATCGAGAGACCCATCAACAGCCCGGCTGCGGCATTCTGCACTGGCTGCAGCCTCCGGATCGGGGACAAGGGCAGCCCCATGTAGAGAGCGTTGCAGTAGTCTAACCCTTGCGTAGATCACTGTTGCTAGGTCATGGCGTTCGAGGAAGGGAACCAGCTGCCAGTTAAGGAGGCCTCCAGGAGCACTCCCAGACTCCTAACCCTTGGCACTGGCTAGCACAGAGCACTGTGAGTTGCCAACCTCCAGGTGGGGCCTGGAGATCTCCTGGGATTACAACTGACCTCCAGACTACACGGATCAGCTCCCCTGGAGAAAATGACCCCTTTGGAGGGTGGGCTCTGTGGCCCTCCCCTCCCCAAACCCCGCCCTCCTCAGGTTCCGCTCCCTCACAACTTCAATGCCAGTAGCTCACCAAGTAGAATTTTTGCTCACAGGACTCCACAGCTTAGAGGGAGCATTGCCTGCGAGGTAGGCGGGGCTGAGAGAGCTCTTTCCGGGAACTGTCCTTGAGAGCACAGCTCTTGTCAGAGCTACGGCTTGCCCAAGGTCATCCAGCAGGTGCAAGTGGAGGAGTGGGGAATCAAACCCGGTTCTCCCAGATTAGAGTCCGCGCACTTCACCACGTCACCCAGACTGGCTCTCTTAGATATAAGGATTCCCACAACCATAGACACAACATCTTCCTTGGTCAAGACCAGCTGGGCAACTGAAGATCTAAAGAGGAAGAACTCCTTTCATCACTCAAGTCTGCCGCTCCCAGGAGTCATTCAGGCCAAAGTTGTAAATCTGCTGCTCGATTCCAGTCCGCCCGCTTTGCACTGCTGCGATCGGCCACTTTAAGGCCTGCTACAGAAGGCTTGTCCTGACCTGGGGGGCCCAGGCAAGCCTGATCCCGTCAGATCTCGGAAGCTAAGCAGGGCTGGCTCTGGTTAGTATTTGGATGGGAGACCACCAAGGAATACCAGGGTCGTGACGCAGAGATGGTGGCAGCTACAAGCATGGACGGCTTCAAGAGGGAATTAGATAAGCCTATGGAGCAGAGGTTCATCAGTGGCTATTAGCCACAAGGTATAGATAGGGACTCTGGGACAAGTGATGCTCTGTATTCTTGTTGCTTGGGG